TATTTAGGTAAATTACCATTGTTATAAATAGGCATGTATTTTTTAATTACACATGTGTAAATCACATTCTACATCAGGGAGTACCCCGTTTGGTTATCGTAATTGTGATTATAATGATTTTTCTACACTAATTATAAATACCATATGATTATTGTAGTCATTGTCATTAATTAATCAATAAATCTACGACTCTTTGAGATGATGTGAATTGAAGGGCTTCACATTTATATTCATTCGGTTCAATTTCACAGACGGACAACAATTATTCACATTTTTGAATTCTTCCAAATCCAATCTCAGGTATATATGTATTTTTTTATCAAAAATATTTTGTATTGTTTAATTTATATTAGTAGGGAGAACCACATGAAACACAATTATATTCCATGTATTATTCTTTGAATTTTTAGATCTTTGCTCGCTAACTGTGAAATCTGAAGCACGGTACCACATACAACACAGATCTGTTCTTGAGATTTTCTTAAATCTAATTGAGTTTTTTGATTTTCTAAATTTGGGATTTTTTTATTACATAATTACGACTTTTGGCAACGCTAGAGTCAGATCTACGTTTATTATGCTTTGAATAAGGTTTTTACATGTTCCAGAGACAGATCTATTTCATAACCCTAATTATTACTCTGTCTAAGATTATGACTTAATTTACCGCTTCTCAGATGACTATCCGGGTCGCACTTGAGGGCCCATAGGATGGGGTTCAAACTTGTCTAAATCGATGATTTACTTCTAAAGATATACTCAATCAAGAACATTATTCAATTGTTTTCGTATATGCATAAATAGGGAAAATAGTACTTCGTTCATCACAATATTTAACTTTAAAATGAATGAATAATCGAAAATTCAAAGGATTTTCTGTTTTGGCCTTCTGATATATTTAAATGACAAATAATTTGTATCGATTTTGAAACGGATATTATGTGAATCCTATTGTTGATATTCGAAGTACTCCGTATATATGGATATGGTAATTAGATATTTGATCTATTTAACATTTGACTCATGCATGTTTGTCAATTACCTTTTTTATACAGAGTATAATTTAATCATAACAATAAAATTTATAAATCCCTCCATCCCACAAAATATTACCCGTTTTGAATAGTATTTGGTCAAACAGTTACACGCTTTGACTACAAATTGTGAGAAAGTATATTAAATTATAATATAAATTTAATATAATTGGATTCATCTTAAGATCTAGTTTTGATATATCAAATTTTTATATTATTTCTTTATTTAGATTATATTTAATTTATGGTTAAAGCGTGTAACTATTTGACTAAAAATACATTAAAATAGGTAATGTTTTGTGGAACGAATGAAGAAGTATATGATAGAGTATATCTTACTCTCTCCGTCCACTTTCATTTTTGCACACCATCCAATGCACTTCTTTAATCCATTTTATATTGTAATTTGTATATTAAAAAATTATAAAAATTATTACGTATATATTAATAATCTATATGTTAAGACGAATCAAACAAGATCACACATGACTATTTTTAGGTTTACACATTGAGATAATTTGATGAGTCAAAGTGCTTAGATGAACAATTCCGAAAGTCAAAAATGGACAAACACTCAAGGACGGACCAAGTATTATCTTTAGAATAATTAGGTACCGAGTATGTTTTTTATACCATATTTGTATGATTTGCATTCATGCAAACTTTTACTCGGGTTAGTCGGGTAAAATTTGATTATCTATTTAAATTGGACAAATTTGATAATTAATTACATTTAAATTAAAAACTCAAAGCAAAGAAATACTCCGTATTGCCTTTCAAACATTGAGTAGATTCGGTAACGTAGTGAAACCAATGTAATTAGGATAATAATGATTTGAGTAAAGTTAAATATGGAGTAACGTTTTTTTCTTTCAGAAAATTGAACCGGTTCAACTGATCGTCTAAAATGAGTGACCAATGCGCGCCGGCTGCCATCCTTCCGGCTAAAAGAAGGCGTGGCCGGCCACGAAAAGACGGCGGAGTACCTAAAAGAGGCAACTGTCTTTCTCCGCCACCACCAGCTCCGGCGCCCAAAGCTTCACAATTACCTCTCGGGACGAACCGGTCCGACACTAGTGCTCTCCAAAGCATGGTCGGCAAACCGGTTTCCGGCGTTATTGACGGTTGTTTCGAAGCCGGTTATTTCCTGACCATAAGGGTGGACAACAGCGACACGTTGCTCCGCGGCCTGGTTTTCCTACCCGGGCGGTTCACTCCGGTTTCAGCCTCAAACGACGTCGCTCCGCAAGCCAAGATGTATCACAGAAAAGACATCCCCGTCCCGGGCCCCACCACCACCAACAACCCACCTCCAGTTCAAAATGAAACGGATCAACCGCCTCCGCCGCCGGTGTCGGAGGCGGTGGCGGTTCCTCATCCCGGGCCGTTTTCCTCTGAAATGACTGAAACACCCTTCCCTCCGCCGAACATCACCACTGTACTCCAGGGTCAAGATCAGAGGTTTCAGATCCAAACCCAAACCGACCAAAGACCGGAGATTCTCCGGACGGTCGAACACGATGACGTCATGCAGGTGTTTGAGCTCTCCCCGCCGCCCGAATCACAGCAATTTCCGGAGAACGACGGCGAAGATGATACATTATTGCCTGATCAATCTACGGGTCCTAGCGATTCGGAATTGGCTCGGAACCCGACGGGCGACCCGGGAAGCCAAATTGATTCGAATCAAGCGCCCAAATCTGATTCTGGGCAATTCGAAGCTCCTCCTGCAGTTGAAGAACCTCAATCTGCAGAGCACATCAAGCAGAGTGATGAGAAAGAGACGACCCAGAAACCAGAGGAGTTAATTGATTCTGGGATTGGTCAAAATGGGGTGCTCGAATTGATGAATGATCATAGTAGTGGAGAGGGGAGGATGGATACCCATGGATTGTTCGGTAATCCGGTGGTCGGCGGTTCCACTGAGTTTGGGTTTGGTATTGGTGACTTTGTTCATCCACCGCACGGCGGCAATCCAAACGGCGTCGGATCTCCTCCGGCAACTCTCAATGATTGATAAACCCAAAAATCTGGCGCAACCATACATGGAGGAGTATATGCATGGTTTTCTTAATTCAAAAAATAAAAATGTTATCCCCACATCACACCAAGTTGCACAATCACTTATACACCACCTCTCTCTACCACCTCTCTCTATCACATGTACCACCAAGATGCATTAATGCTTGATACAGATGATTATCATCTGTATTATCTGTGCGAGACATGAATACACTTCTGATAGTAACTATTTGGAACACCTTAGCATGCCCCATAAGAAATGTGTGGAGATTAATATACAACTATACAAGTTGGTGTGGTACTTGGTGTGTCCCTAGTTTTGACACTATGTTTGATTCAAAGATTTTCAAAAGCAAAAATAAAAGAAAATAAGGTAGAAAATGATTATTCATGTTTTATTAGTGCATAAAACAAAAAATTTGGAAAGTAAAGAAAATGAAATGAGAAAACATTAAGAAAAAGTAAATTTAAATTTCTTACGTTTTGACGAAGAAAAAGAGAGATCAATTTCTTTTCTTCATCTTTCAAATTTATTTGAACTAAACATCGGGTGAATTTTTCGTGAATGGCGCTCACGGTACTATTCTTGTCCTCTTAGAATTATATAACCATGTTTTGTACGGAGTATATTTTAGGCTTACTTATTAAAAATTATTAAAAATGTTAGATCTTAGAGCTAACATTTTTAAAAGGTTATTGAACGATATTGTTTAATTTTAGTTCTTTTAAAAATAATCTATATCATTAAATATTTATTTAAAACAGCGCTAATAAAAAATATCAGTACCAAACAAGGTATGTACTATTCTCTCCACGCCAAAAAACCTCATAATTTGGTTTGACAGAAAGTTTGAGAAAAGTGAAAATGTGTGATAGAAAAGTGAAAAGTTTTAGAAAGGCTCTCAAAAATGGTAGAATATATAATTACTTTTTTGGGATGTCTCTAAACGAAAATAAAGATTATTTTTAAGATACTCTATTAATTCGAGGACAAGCTATTAGTCAAATCTTGTCTTTCAAATGTAGAGGTTTTTTGTTGGTCATCTATTACTCTATATAAAAGAATTAAAATAAATATTACAACTTGAGTAGAGCATTTGACAAGTATAAAAAAGTATTCAAAATCATTTCAATAATTCATTAGTCCAGAACTGATCTTCTCATATGATTTTTCTTGACCAACGTTTGTAAAAAAAGATTATTTTTTATATTTTGAGCAATTTATTATTATATGTGTTCGGTTCAAGATTTTTCAGCTTGAGAAGTATCTTGTAACGCTCTCAAATATCACATTGACTTTTTGATTTGGTCTAATTAGATTCTTTTAGGGCATTTTCGACCTTATATTCACATTTTTGTTTGAAAAATGTCATGATCAACTGATATTTTTCACTCATATTTTTAACACTATATTTAAGGAATTTGGAAGGAAAATAAAAGAAAAAGATTTTATCTCAGTTTCATCATCAAAATGAGAGGAATTTGGTATTCTCATCTTTTAGTACATTTTGTCTTCTAATCTTCTTTTCTTTCTACTTTTCTTTTTCTTCACTAACCAAACAAGAAAAATATTCTCATTTTCTTTTCCTTGGACCAAACATAGTGTAAGGCCATGTTCACTTCACATTATGTTTATATTATGTTTATGATTCTGATCTAGTTTGAATAATTTTTTTATTTAAATATAATTATATTTAAAACTATTTCTGTTTTGATTGTAATAAAAATAAATAATACTTATTCTGTCCATAATAGATCTTCTTTGATACTATTCACAAATCACATGGTCAAATTTAACTCAATTTGTTTGTTTATTTTAACCATTCATTTCATAAAATAAAATAGCATTATCACCTCTAGTTTTGTAGAATCTTTTATATACTTTTTTATTATATAAATTTTATTTTTACAATTGAATTGAAAATAAACGCAGGTAGTAAGAGACAAAACTTCTTATTCCCTTCACTGGTGGGGGATCCGAAGTTCTTCTTCCTCCGATCAGGGAAGCCATCTTCACCGGTGGTGCCGTTCTCCATCATCTTCTGACAATTCCTCAAGAGGTCTGTACTGTGGGCCGTCTACATCTGTACTTATAACATACTAGAAGTTCCTCGATCAAACTTCGGATCTGGGAATCATCATCTCCTTCCATCTGATTATCTATACCTATATGAATCTTCATATCAAAATCAAACCAGTCATTGCATTGCTCGCGCATGAATTGAATCCCAAATGGAGTTCATTTGATTTCCGTGCTACTAGAAATTCCCGAACTAGCTGACGGAGCCTTTCCCTTTCATTGTACTGGCCTGCAGGTCGAAGATGGACATAATATCGCAGTTGCAAGAACATGTTAATTCCACGGCATCTATTGCTTTTAATACCTTCGGAACTCTTCAGAGGGATGCTTCTCCGGCCAGATTGTCGGCTAATTATCCGGAACCCCCTCCGGCTGCTAAGCCTGCCGATGATGCTGCTACTGCAGCTGCTACGACTGCTAATGCCGTGGAGCAATCCAAGCTCATGGCTACTGAACTTGTCAAAGCTGCTAAACAGGTAAAAACTGATTTAGGGTTTCAAGCTTTCAATTAAGTGATGTGTTTGTGTGAACTGGTTCATGTATAATTCTTCTCTGGAGAAAAATAATTGGGGAAAAGAAAAGAGCAATTCAGATTGATTGCTGCCCTCTTTGTTTCTCTGATCTACTAGTTACTTTTAATAATGTGTTTTGAAGAGTGTGATTGTAAATTGTTGTTGAAAAAGATGAAGATATCCAGCTAAAAGGTTTAGTCATAACTTATAAGTTGTTCCACATGCAGTTTGATGCATTGGTTGCTGCACTCCCATTATCTGAAGGAGGGGAAGAAGCTCAATTAAAAAGAATTGCAGAACTTCAGGTATATGTGTTCCATCAAATCTCCCTATTGCCTCATTTTCATGTAAGACTAAAAGTGTATACATTGGATATGACCAATATTGAATATATATTCTCTCTTTCTATTGGGGAAATGGTGGATCTTCAAGTAGAGTATTGCTTATCTGAGTTGGGTTATTAATCTAGTTTACTGTTTTACTTCTGTGCAATGTTGGATGGCGCCCATAGTTTGGCAAAGGGGTAGGGATACCCCCCCCCACACCCCACCCCCATTTTGTTACTTAGGGGCTATTTAATAAACTTGAATGAAACTTAACTTTCATTGAACCGAATAGAATGGTACTGATCCGGTTATGCAGTACTGAAAATAAGTGATATTGAACAGACCCTTTATGTGGGAAGGCTCTATTTACTCATTTTGTTTCTTGCTGCATGCTTTTCACATCTACAAGGGGTTGTTTTGGAGAGAGGTTTTGGAGGGGAGTTTAATCTAGATATCATGACTTGTATTTAAGATTTAATATATATTGAGATATTAAGCCAATATATATATATAGCATTTCAATCAATTTATTAGTTTTAAAAAAGCTGTATTTATCAAGATATAGACTAAGCCCATTAAAGCATTCTCCCCCAAATCCTTCCAAAACCCTCCTCTTTATAGCCCATCTATTTTGAGGAAAATCATTTTATTGCATCTAATTGTAGTCCCAGTTTTTGTCATCCCAATAAAAAATGTCTTGGCTTCATTATTTGTTTAAAGGAGGTTTTGTTTATAAATGCTTTGCAGGCCGAGAATGATGCAGTAGGCCAAGAACTTCAAAAGCAACTGGAAGCTGCAGGTACATACTGATGTCTTATACTCTGCACTTAACATTTTAGAGTGCATATACATTGCGTAGTTACTTGCATTATGAATCTAGTTTTTTTATGTTAGTGTCTCAATTTAGTTATCATTAAGGTTCCACTTACATTCAGTAAAATAACTTGTGGGGAGAAAAATGGTTTGTAGAAATCTTTTACTGAAGATTGTTTTAGTAAGTATGCATGAACTATCATTCACTTTTGAAATGGCCTTCTTTTAATTTACAAAATGCGGGGTACAGCAACTTAATATAATCCCAACTTCGTCGGGGTCTTTGGGGTGGGGGTGGGGGGTCAAAATGCACACAACCTTATCCCTGTAAAATACAGAGTGACATCTTCCAATAGACCCTTGATGCATTGCTACATTTACTACCCAAAACTTCATTAAAGTAATGAGCAAAGAAAGTTTAATCTGCTGTTTTGATTTAATCAATTGTTTAATTACCCGAAGCTAAAACATTGTAATTTACAACTACTTGAGCTACATTGGCAATGTACATGAAGATA